GAATTTTTTCTGTACATGATGAAAAATTCAAAATATAAAGATTGAAGTTCGAGGAGCGTCACTGCGTGGGTCACATGCTATTTTATCCTAGTCGTGCATAGTTCTTACCGAAATTATATTTGACTTCTTATGTATTGTTCAATTACAAGTCTAAGGGTATATTCAAGACTCTTTAAATATAAAATATTATCTATTTTAAAGAGCCAACTCTTAAAATTACGCTGTAAAATACTATTGAAACAACATTTTAGAATGGAGAGTGGGTTTGACTTTTCAAATTTAAAGAGTCAAACATACTCTCTCTAATCACTCAAAGTATTTCAATTTTTAATTTAAAAAAATAATATTATAATTTGTAGGAAAGCTAGTGAAAACAAAAGATAGAAAAATTAAAAAATATTTTTTTTTGAAGTAATAAATATAAAGAGTATGCTGGAGTACTTAAAAATTTTTAATCTTTAAATTTACAGAGGTTCTTCAAATTGTAAAATGTGTTTTTTTTTTTTTTATATTAGAGAGTCTCCCGACGATGCTCTAAGCAATCTGATATGTTTACTAATTATAAGTTTAGTAATGGTTGGTTATTTTTGTACATTCTTTGTACTACATTTTTTACGGCCTACTCTAAATATATGGACATAAACCATTTAAGATGTTGATAACAACATTACATGATATTTGTTATTGACTTATCCGAATTGAATTATGTTAGGTACCACAAGAGTTGTCTGCCTCTTTAAAGCTAACCTACCATATGTCCATACTTTGATAAAGCTCTTATTTGGTATAATTTAAAATATTGATAAAAACTTAAAATCTAAGTTAAACGATTAATTTCAACACATTTTTATAGTACTCACGACTTTTATCCAAATATGGACAAAATGTCGTTTTTGTCCTCGAAGATTATAAAACTTCACAAATTTTGAAATTTCTACATTGTTTTGAGTTTATGTATAATTTATTTCGTTACGAAAAATTATAGAGATAATTTGGTGACGCTAACACGAATTTTGTCTGCATTTCAAGTAATAATAAACAAAACCTTAAATTGGAATTATTACCCCTTTCAAACATATTTAAACTAGTAACCATGAAGGAAATTGGGTGTGTTAGACAATGAGAGAGAGAGAGACAAGACAAAAATGTCTTTAATTATTTTATTTTAAAAAATCATGTTACATGTACATTCTTCTTTTTTACATTAAGTTTGATACTTTTTCACATGACATTCATCGAAACTATTGATTTCTACAACATCCTATCACATCACTGTCTAAATATTAACAAATAGGAGAAATTTCAAGGACGGTGTAAACATCCATGTATGCATAGCTTAATTCTATTTTAAACATGTTCTAGACTACATTTATACATTAAGAAATTTAGGATACGTTTGGTTTGCTGTATTCAAATTATTTTCAATTTTCAATTTTGCAAAATACTAAAAACGTATTTTGTTTGGTATTTTTGAATATGTGTTTTTGAAAGCAATGATGAATTTTTAACATAAAACTAAAAACACATTTTTGACGTTTTGAGTGTTTTTAGTGAAAATTTTGAAAACACTCGAAACATAGAAAACATAAATAAAATTTTGTTTAAGTGAACATAAATTAAAATATTCTTAGTTCACTTCATTAGTTTTTATTTTTACTTCATGTGTTTTAAACTAATTTTTTATTTAGTTTTATTTTACTTTTGTGGTGAGAAAAAAATATTGTAAGATTC